ATGACGGATAGCATTCTGCCAAGCTTCGGGCGTTACTAGCTGTATGGAAGTCTCAAGTAAAACCTTAACGTCTGGTAATTTGATGGTTGTGTTATGGCGCGCAATATAACCCTTCACTTGAGCCCAGATGAGTTCTATTGGGTTCAGTTCACAGTGGTAGGGCGGTAACCGCAGCACAGTGACACCACATTGACGGGCCATCTCATCAGTCACGTAACTAATTTTCGCAGGTTTGTGCTGTTTAATTTTTTCATACAATTCCGCTTTCACACATGAATCGTCAAACGGGATTCCTTTTTCGCGCAACCATTGCTGCATGTCACTTTTTCGAGATCCCATAGTCGGTACACGTTCGGCTCGACGACTATGGTAGGAAGCATTATCCATGACGATCACAGAATTGGGCTCAACTCGCTGAAGCACCCCTTGAAACCAGCTCTCGAAGCAGCTGGCATTCATTTCGTCATGGTAATCACCTCCTTTCTTAGAGACGAAAATCAAGTCACACGCTTCTAAAAAGCCACTATCGCTACCAATATGAGTTACGATCAATCTTTGACCTTTCTCTGACGGTCCACGAAGACCTGTTGACAAACCTTCAATGCTTGCTTGTCGGTTACTCACTACGTTTTTGTCCATCCAGGTTTTTTCAACTGTGTGACCTGCATTTACCCATGTCTCGTCCAAATAATAGATTTTTCTGCTTTGTCGCCTATATTCAATCATTTCGCGTAGGTATTTTCGACGCCAGGCGACTATTTCAGGTCTCTCTATCAATACTGACTTCCGATTACGCGTTTCGTAACGAAAATTAATTTCGTGCAGGGATTTCCTCATTACCTCGACGCTCATTTGGGGTATACTTTCATTTTCCTTGATCGCTGCATGTACAGCCTTGAGGGTTGGTATCTCATTCCTAAAGAAGAATGAATGTACGGTTCGCCTTAACGCCATTTTGCTATCGTCATCCAATTTAACTGCCTTTCGTCCCTTCAAATTAAACTTTGGATCAGTAGTAGCTCCAGTTTTCTTCTTTTCATGCACCATCCTGCGAATGGTCCACTCTGGAACGCCTGTCATACTTTCACAACGCGTGAGTGCATCTCCCTGCGACATAGTTCTGTTCAGATAATTGAACACGTTGAGCACGATTTCTTTCGCGTCCCTCTTCAGTGCTTTACGAAGCCGTCTACCTGTTCCCTGGCTTTCAGTACTTCCACTCGTGCCATTTGTACTCTCCATGGTTAAGTATAACCAAAACAGTAACCACAGAAACCACAACAATAACAATCACACAACAATTCTGATAAAAACACACAATACGCGATCGCTCAACGAAACACGTTCCAATGCGTTGCCGACGCCTATGAGTCTGCCGGTCGAGGCGCGTCTTTGATTTCATTGGTTCTACCGACGGAGAACAATCAGCCATTATTTCCATCTCTGTCTGTGCTGTTGACCACCGCAAAGCCACAGAAACGACATATGTCGTACACTATACGGCTGTTCTGGAAGGAAGCCGGGATCGAGCTCTAATCATGTGTTGATCACGCGTATGAGTCATTGCAGTTTTAAATAGTTGTAGTATACCTATTATTTGCTATCAGTTTCTAACTACAATATTTGTACAGCTTGTTCGTCCATACTAGGGAGGCATTATATTTTGTTTTCTGTGGTTGTCCGAGCGTTTTCCAAATGCCATTTTTTTCACTGCGGTTCGCTCAAAAGCAACTAAATGAACGGTGAACCAATTTTGTAGTCATACATTTTATCCAGTTGCACAATCAAAGTTAGCGGCGATGAATTTCGGCGTGCGTTGTGCCGTGAAGCACGAGACTAGCGTAATAACGAATTACAAGTGTAAGCGTTTCACAAACGACGCTATTTCAAAGCTAATTACGTTCTGGCTGATGCCCAAATGCTCCGCTGCTACTCGCAGCTGATTTTCGCAGACTATTTTCCACAGTAGATACTGTCAGGAATGCAGAAACGATTTTATGGATTTACAGAAGGGAAGGCTACATCGGACGCAATAACTAAAATTGTAAATCAAATATATTAAAATATTGATAACAGAATCCCTTCAATCTGCATTTTGGTTGATTTAAAGAAAGCTTTCGACACAGTTAATCACAAATTATTATTAGAAACATTGAAGAGAATTGGTTTCAGAGGAAACGCGTACTCACTGATCGAAAGTTATTTGTCAAATCGCCCACAATCTGTGCAGATATCAGGATCATTTAGTAAAGAAATGTATATTAAGTGTGGTGTCCCACAAGGAACTGTCTTAGGTCCGCTGTTATTCAATATATATTTAAATGATATTTTCCAAATTAATTGTGTTGGCAAAATAACTAGTTTTGCAGATGATACTGCAATATTATATGAAGGCACTGACTGGTCTGATCTGAAAAATGTAATTGAAAATGATTTTATCAAAATTATTCGGTGGTTTAACAGTAGAAAATTAAGCATTAACTACTCTAAAACACATTTTTTACCATTTGGATCTTATGCTAGACATCTGCCAAATTACACAAATTTCTCCTTCAATATTAATGATCAAAAAATGCAAATTAATAGAGTGCCCAACATAAAATACCTTGGAGTGGTCTTGGATCCTCACTTACGATGGGACATCCATGTCAATTATATTTTAAAGAAAGTTAGATTTGTATCCTACAAAATTAAATACCTTGGGAATATATTGACAGAAAAATATCTTCAAACATTACACCATGCACTGATTGAGCCTCATCTCACATATGGTATATTAGCATGGAGAGCTGCATGTTCCTCACATATGTATAATTTAGATGTTTTTGAAAAAAGTATTCTAAAAATGATATTAAAAAAACCGAAACTTTATCCCACTGAAAAATTATACGCAGATGTTCGAATGTATGATATAAGACAGCTTTATTTCTTACATAGTATCACTCACTACCATAAATTTGTAAACACCGACCAAAAAATTAAACATAATCATTATACCAGGTACAAAATTCGTGGCACAGTAGTTCCTCAACCGCATAAATCTATAATGCAGCGATCATATCTCTATTTAGCGCCTAAATTTTATGAAATTATACCTAAAGACTTAAAAGATTTACGTTTCGGAAATTGTTTCAAAAGAAATTTAAAAAAGTGGCTACATTCTATATCTAGGACTGAAATTCATAAACTCATAAATACGAACATCAATTAAATATATAATCTACTGTAGCTAATTTTTGTCCTTTTTTGTCATTTGCATTCTACAGTTTCAACTTAAATTATTGGTCCATGTACAGGCGATGCCTTCTATTGGGCCTGTTTTGATTTTATATTTATTTACTCATATTGTTTGTTATCTTTGTACATTGAGTAAATAAATATTATTATTATTATTATTATTAACATTTGAAAAACGTCGTGATTGATATTGCTGTGAAAATAAATTCGTCATAGCTTCGATACATCAACGTTTTGATGCAATATCCATGTACCTGATTTAGTTATCATCAGGAACCAAAATAAAAGCAATACTTGGCGACGGCTTTATGCAAGGCTTCTGAGCCTAGTAGTAGTAGTGGGGAGCGGAAGCCTGGCTACTAGATCACCTTTGACCCTTTCTGTCGACCCCCGCACGGGTATCATGTAAAAAACCTATAAAACGTAAAAAAAACCTATAAGATGTCAACTTGCTTATTTTGGATGATATGGGGGGTAGGAGAGTCTAGATGATGATTAAGTCATCGGTAGTTATTTACTTTTTTTACAGGATTGGCAACCTTCATATTGTCTTTGCCTGAAAACGAAACGCATTCTCGGGGATTCCAGCAAATAATGCATACGTTTAGTGAACAGCGCGAGGTAATTCCCCTACTCGGTTCTAAAGCGCAAATATTAAAAAAGATGAAGAAGATAAAATAAAACCCGGTAATGAATCACAACAGCAATGCGAAATTAATGAATCCATCCAGAAATAAAAAAAATATTATCTCTGAGGGATTCAGTGGGACGTCCTAATCTTGAAAGCAGTCAACATTCACTATTGAAAACAATCGCGGATATAGCTTTATTTGGGAGTTCAGCAGATGATAGAAGACGAACGGAATCAATTCGCAGCGTAAAAACTCTTGATGAACTCACAGAAGAATTACGTAAAATAGGATTTGACATTAGTCGCAGTGGGTCATATCTTCGTTTGATTCCCAGAAAATCTAATTCTGCAGAGGGATGAAGACATGTATCGACAGTCCCTGTTAAGCTCATTCGGGTTCAAACTGATCACCACAAGAGCCACTTAGATAGCAAGTTCGCTGAAACATCAACCCATTATTTAGAGAACAGAGTATCCATACTTCGACCAGATCAAGTATTTTTCATATCTCAAGATGATAAAGCTCGAGTCCCTATTGGCGTAACTGCGGGAAATAAGCAAGCACCTCTTCTAATGCACATGGAATATAGAATCAAATTGCCTGATCACGATTGGGTAATCGCTGAGCGTCATAAATTAATACCATCTGTTTATGCTGGTATCAAAATCACTTCCAATATGCTAGGACAACCGCAAGCCGTTGGGTATTCTGGACCAACATACATCGCTATTCGAAGTGGAAAGCAAAGTTCATCTACTGCTAATACTCATGCATAGGATTTGGAGACGCTTCTTGAACTTGAAGAGTTTTGACCACTAGCTAAAACTGACCGTGGACTAGTAAAACCAGTACTAATCATAACGGTTGATGGAGGGCCAGATGAAAATCCAGGTTATCAAAAAGTCATAGGGTTTTCTATACAACACTTTAAGCGACATGATCTCGATGCATTGTTTTTACCTACCAATGCTCCTGGAAGAAGTGCGTATAACAGAGTAGAGCGCAGAATGACTCCTCTTAGTCAGGAACTGGCTGGTTTAATATTGCCTCATGACCATTTTGGGTCTCATTTGGATGAACGTGGCGTTACAATTGATGAACATTTAGAAAGATCTAATTTCGAATTTGCAGGAAATGTATTAGCTGAAGTATGGAGTTCAATGGAAGTTGATGGCTATAATGTTAATGCAAAATACGTTGGAGCAGGTGAACAAGATCTTCCTGAATTTCCAGACATTAAATGGTATACAGAACATGTGCGTGAGAGCCAATACTTGCTTCAAATTGTAAAATGTAGAAATACAGAATGCTGTCGTCCAAGAAGTGGTCTATTCAGATTACTAGACAATAGGTTTCTTCCACCACCTGTAACAGTAAAACAAACAGTTGATGACTTACTCTCTAGGCGCTGAAGAAAGAAACTAAACCCAAACAAATACACGCATATTGCTCGTGAGTGAGTGTTTAGGCGCAGGAGACATTACAGGACCGCATCAAGATATTATGGGTAGTCATCAAAAATTTCATACAAGATAATTATTATCTTTTACAGTAAATTTCAGTTAGAGATTCACAAATGAGTTAACTACACTTTTTAGTTATTAGTAAGTAAGCTGCGCGCACTCATTCAGAAGAGGAACTTGAATCTTCTGAATCGTTTAAATGAATTTTAGAGGTTCAATTTGGGTATCGATGACATTGTCCAAATCCCACATTTTGACCTCAACCTTCTCCCGAACGTGGCAGATACAGTTTTTCCATTCCTCTGCCGTAACTCTATTGACTGCGATGTGAAAGAGATTTTTAACATCAGAAAATTTATAAGTATTATTATTCGACGCCACGTATTGCTTTATGTTGGCCCAAATCAGCTCAATAGGGTTCAGCTCACAATGGTAGGGTGGCAGTCTCAAGACAGTTTTATTTTGTTTTTTGGCCATTTCGTCGATCATTTTAAAATCGTATTTGTATTTATGTCTATTGACTATACTTATCAATTCACCCTTGACCATTGTTTCATCAAAATCGATCTGTTTTGAGGCCAGCCATTGTTGTATGTTTGCTTTTTTAGTTGCCATTGTGGGAATTTTTTCTATTTTTCTAGAATGGTACGGGGCATTATCCAGTACAATAACAGCGTTATTCTCCAGCTTTAGTAACATTTTGGAGAACCAATTTTCAAAGGAATTGCCGTCCATCTCCTCATGATAGTCCCCTGTCTTTTTTGATTCAAAGGCCCACAGTGCTTCGGGAACAAAGCCGTCTTCACTACCTACGTGACAAATGATCAGCCGTTTGCCTTTTCCTGGAAATAAATTATTCCTTACACTATGGATTGATTAAATTTGAAGGAATGAGGCAATTGTTCATTTAGCTGAATTTAAGAGTCACGGAATGCTGATCAAAAACTGAAAAACGTAGAAAATTGAAGTTAGCTACTTCTCAAAACCCATTCAAAGCAAATTGACTGCACCCAAAAATGATAATAAATTTCAAAATAACGCTTAAAAGAGGGTCGAAGTTTTTTTCCTAATGACTACACTGCGAATGCACCATTTTTGGAGAATATCACACATTATCTGCTATCACAGCATATTATTTGCCCGAATTTATCAAAATTAAATTGCCGGATAGATGAAGGAGCTTACCTGCAGGATTTTTCAATCCAGCCGAAAGACCGTCTAGAAAAGCCTGCCTTGACGATGTTACTGATTTGTCGACCCAAACTTTCGCTTGAGTATGTCCAGCATTCACCCACGTTTCGTCCAAATAGTAAATTTTTCTTTTTTCATCGCGAAACTTCCGAATCTTCCTAAGGTATTCCCTTCTCCACACAACAATTTCTTCTTTCTCTATTAACATACTGTTTCTTCCCCGTTTCAAGAATCGAAAATTAAGTTCCTTCAAAAGTTTTCGGAATGTGGTTCTTTTAAATGATGGAAGATCCTCATCAGCATTAACTAATCTTAATATCTTATCTACTGTAGGTATCTCATTTCGGAAGTAAAAATTATGCACTTTCCTCCTGATGGCAGTTCTGTCAAAGTCATCTACTCCGTCCGTTATCCTTTTTCTTGCAGGATACGGTTTTGGCTCAGAAAGTGAGTGAGTGCTCCTATATTCCTTAATGATCCTATAAACACTGCACCGACATACTCCAGAAATAGGTGCTACCTTACATATAACTTCGTCCACGACCAAATCGGGTTTTTCTTGAATTTGGTTTTTGTATATATTTAATATTATTTGTTTTTCATTTGCACTTAAATGTAGCTTCTTAGCCCTTTTTTTGGGTGGGGTTGCGCTGATGTCAACCACTTCGTCGGCTGTATCTGTGTCAGACATCGTATCTTAGGCAATATATAAACAAAACGTTCCACTCGCGAAAAACGAGTATACGCTACTGAATGCGTAATGCGTATGCAATGCAATCCTGTGCGTGAATTAACTGTTAGATGCCTGTCGTGTCATCTACAATCACGTTTACAAGTCCAAACCTGTGCAGATTCGTAGAGCGCCGACGACTGCTAGTGACCTTGAATTTGTCTGTAGATCGATGTTACTCCAGTCAATTTAGGTTCAAAGTGGATGTTTTCTAAACCAATTTGTTGTTCCTTCATCAAAAATATATCGATGATGTTTTGTACTGGGAGCTCATGAAAGATCAAGGTAACTTATTTTAACAGTCATCCTTTTTCTAGTCTCAAGATGACACGAAAAAGGGTCTGTGGATTCACTAGAAATACACTGCCGAGGATGCCTAAAGTGACTGGAGTATATCCGTGGATGCTTTCGAGGGATCTGTTCTCGTGCTGATCACTGTTTACGTTTAATGTCTTTCTTCAGCGCCCAGAGTATAGTTTTGGATGAAGGAGTACAATTTCTTAATCTTCCAGTCAATCTGACTCTACGCTTAAGTGCTTCACTCAAAGATTTCCTGCAAATGCCCTACGATTATTTTTGTCCGACGGTAAAATTGAGGCTATCAAGTCGAACATGCCAAACGTGTGGTCTTTATCATGCTTCCGTCAATTCACTAAGTCGTCACATCGAAAATATCCATAAAAAAGTAAACACGCACACTGATAGGAAAGTTAGACCTGTAAGAGCCGCTGCTCGTCGTGCTAATGAACTGATGTGCATTATTCAAAATTTAGAGCACCATGGTTGAATGGCTCGATGGGAACGGCATAGACATCCAAAATCCGATGAAAACGAGCAACAATCGAAGCATTCCAATGTCATCGAAAACTTTCATGGACTGAAGACTGTTAATTTGAATTTAATATATGTACCAAAAATTTAAAATAAGTTGGTTATGTTAGTAAGATGTAATATTTTGGTCCTTTACACTATGTTGAATACCGTATCAGTAAAATATAATCTCTATCCTAAATCTATTTTCTTATTTTTCAAATTATAATTATAAAGTTATAATTATAATATTAAAAAAAAACAATACATTAATTGACAAATGTTTACGTAAGCATGGGGGGAGGAGGTAAGAGCTTTGCTTACTTTTGCTGACAAGGGGGATGAGGGGGGGGGGTAAATAATTGTAATAAATCTGTTTACGTAATACTTGAACGGCCCCTTAGCATGTATATGGCTTGTAATTCGACAGTGTACAATGGATATAATTATTTCTTATCTCTCTCATTTTTTAAATTCAGCAAATTTGTATATGTAATTTCCAGAATGGATAAGAAAAAGTGGATGCGCAACCAATTTCTAGCTTTGAATCTCAACTAAGTGTATTTGAGACAAGAAACCAATGTAATTATCATCAACACATACAACTTACAGCTTAGACCTCAAGTAATGCCACCTCAGAAGCAGATTTTACATCACATTAGAGCCAAAGATGGATAACTAGCCTTATGACGTTTAGGCAACACGTACAACTAAGTGCTAAGTTAGCATCTTGTAGAATACCCTACATAATGTCAAAAAAAAAACAGCATAATGCCCAAAAAAAATCGGCATGATGTCAGTTTACAAGATACGTGACACCCGTGCGTGTACCAACACTGTACTTCTTCACGTGCTTGTCTACTACTATTGAATAAGACAGTTCCAACGATCAAGGTAACTATTTGGTCTTGCACCAACCTGGTGCGTAGATATAAATATACAAACGTAACAACTATGTCTTGAAATATAACTTCTGAGACAGAGACTCGAAAACCGAAGGTACAAACCAAGGTCTGTGAAGTTAGCACCAAAAAAACAGGGGCTACCAATCATTTGTCTACATTTGTTCACCAATTCATTTGATTTGTCCGCCCTTCATATCCTTGTAAAATGACAAACTTCAGGCAGGGCCAAAACTTTCGAATATTGAAAAAATATTTTACTCTCTTATTTGTCCATCGTTAGTCGACATTTGTTCACCATTTGTCCATCTTTTGAATTTGGTGGAAAGGAAAAAGAGATTGATTCACGCTGATCTCGAATTTTCAATGAAGTGCCTTCAAATTTGATGAACATGTTTTGTTAGAACGAAACAAACTCGATATTTCATACCCCTGCAAAATCGCCGGATACACTTCATCAAGGATGAACATCATTGTATTCGTTTGTCTGTGCATCGAAGACTTTTTTGTCCACCTTACAGAACTTTAAAAAAAAGGTACCTCCGATTCTATTTAATTTTGTTTACTGTGTTTTTTTCTTTGAAATTATGTAGGTTTTTCTACAAGATGTTAACTTAGCACTTAGTTGTACGTGTTGCCTAAACGTCATGAGGCTTGTTATCAATCTTTGGCTCTGATGTGATGTAAAATCTGCTTCTGAGATGGCATTACTGGAGGACTAAGCCGTAAGTTGTATGTGTTGATGATATTACATTGGGTTCTTGTCTCAAATGCACTTAATTGAGCTTGAAAGCTAGAAATTAGTTGCGCATCCACTTTTTCTTATCCATTCTGGAAATTACATAAACAAGTTTGCTGAATTTCAAAAATGGGAGAGATAAAAAATAATTATATTCACTGTACACTGTCGAATTACAAGTCATATACATACTAACAGTAATTACAGACAACGCGGGCGGGGTGATGATTTCCCGTAATTCTCCTCAGTTTTTCGTAATTTATAACTTTGAACACATCCTCTCTTCAGAAAGCACAACATAAAAATAACCCGTCAGGTACAGCCAATAGATATACTTCATTGGCAGCATATTCAGTAATGATTTTCTCAGACAGCAAATACTACTGATTTTATACACATGCAGATCAATACACATAATCATCCAGATGCGATCTTGCTATTCAACCAAGTTTCTTCTCAGAGATAAAAACTACAGGCAAGGACCATTTGGCTTCACCAAACATATGCAACCAATAATGCGTGTA